GCTATGGAAAATGCAGGGCGGGGGCGGCGGGGCGGTGCGCGGCGCCAGCGCAGGGCAGGGGCGGCGGCACGGCGACCGCGCAGGACAGGGGCGGCGGGCGGCGGCCGCGCAGGGCAGGGGAGACGGCGCGACGGCCGCAAAGGACAGGGGCGCGGGACGGGAGGGGCGCGGGAGCAGGCTGTGCTCACAGGGGGCAGCGGCGACGGTGAAGGCGAGCAGCCTGACGGCGTCGGTGGCGGCGGCGACGGCGAAGGCGACCAGCCTGACGGCGTCGGTGGCGGCGGAGACCGCAAGGTGGAGCAGGGGCGTCGGGCGGCGACGGCGACGAAGAGGAGCAGTGGACGTCGGGGGAGAAGTGGGGGATTTGATCAAAACTGCTATGTGTTGCTTATATAGCAAAGCCTTTAGCCTCGGTTGGTGCCACCAACCGGGACTAATGCACCCCTTTAGTCCCGGTTGTTGCCACCAACCGGGACCAAAGACTTCTTTTCAGCAGCCCAAAGGGCGGGAAGCAGAGGGCTTTGGTCCCGGTTGATGGCACCAACTGGGACTAAAGGGGGTGCATTGGTATCGGTCGGTGCCACGAACCTGTACCAATGCACCCCCTTTAGTCCCGGTTGGTGCCAATCAACCGGGACCAAAGGCCCCTGTGCTGCCCGCGTTGCAGCCAAAGTTTAGTCCCACCTCGCTAGTTTAGAGGGGCGCGCAGTGGATTATAAGCCCCACTGCTGCACCCCTCTCGAGCTCCTCTCCACTATAGGCTTACGGGCCTACTTGCTACTTGTTGGGTTTTCTGGGCCTACTATGGGCCTGATCCTGGCCCATGGATGGGTTTCTAGTCGTATTCAGGCCGTGGTGGCCCAGTTGGTGGCAAATTTTTTATTTTTTCCAGTTGTTGTTGTTCTCTTTTTGCTATTATTTATTTTGTTTTGTTCATACTTACAACAAAATACTTATTTATTTTATTTTGTTTGTAATTACACTAGTAGAAAAAGGGCCTATTGTCCCGGTTGGTAAGGGCCTTTAGTCCCGGTTGGTGAACCGGGACTAAAGGGTCGGTACTAATGCCTCCCCCCCTTTAGTCCCGGTTCAATCCAGAACCGAGACTAAAGGCCGCGGCCACGTGGAGCCTTTAACAATCCACCTTTAGTCCCGGTTTGTAACACCAACCGGGACTAATGGAAATTTTATGATTCTTTTCTTTGAAAATTTTTTTGAAATTTTTTTTTGAAATTTTTTGTTTTCAAATTTCTGAATTATTTTAACTCCTCATTAGTGAATCTCTAATCAGCACCCCTCATCACTGCTCAATTTATCCTCTTCTCTAATCACCCTCATCATTCCAAATCACCTAACTTCCCAAACGGTCACCCATCCTCCCACTCACCCAGCCTGAGCACGCTTAACTTCCGGGTTCTATTCTCCCTCGTTTCTAAGTCTGCACTTGTTGTTTTCCTGACAATAGTAAGATGTTAATTCTATTAACCCTCAGGAATTTTGCTTGAGCATGAATTGACACATTTCACTGTTTGAGTTTCAAACTATTGTTTTCAAAAACAATAATTATTTAGAAAACAATAGTTATTTTGAATAATTAGTTTGACCAGGGTTTGACCATAGTTTGACCACAGTTTGACTACAGTTTGACCAGGTTTGACCAAAATTCAAAATAACTGAACAAATTAGTTATTAACACTAATATTCTAGAATAATTAGTTTGACCATGGTTTGACCACAGTTTGTCATTTTTCCGATTTTTTTCACTCTAGATATTAAAAGCCCCGTAACTTTTTTTCTGTTAGGTTTTTGAGGATTTTAAAAATGTTTAACGGGGTTTCCCCGATTAAATTTGGATGTAACTTTTCGAGTAGATGATTTTTCATATAAAAAACTTTTTCATCCGAGTTAGTATGCAAAAGTTATGCCCATATTTACAAATTCCAGAGAGATTTTGCAAATAAAGTCGAAATTTACATTTGCAAATTTCCCCAACAACTAGACCACATATCACATGGGAAACTTATTTTCTTTTATTTTTTTGACATTTCCATCATTTTCTTTTATTTTTTTTAAATTGAAAAGGCGATCCACAGGGGGGGTAGAGTTTGAAAATGGGACCTTTAGTACCGGTTCGTGGCACGAACCGGGACTAAAGGTCTCAACCCCATTAGTCCCGGTTCGTGCCTCAAACCGGGACTAAAGGTCTACTCTTCAGTCCCGGTTTGAGGCATGAACCGGGACTAATGGGCATCGCACCCTTTAGTCCCGGTTTGAGGCACAAACCGGGACTAAAGGGCACAGGTGAACCGGGACTAATGCCTTAGCCGCACGAACCAGGATAAATGCTCACATTAGTCCCGGTTCTGGATTGAACCGAGACTAATGGGCTAAACAGGCCTGGACGAAAGCCCTGTTTTCTAGTAGTGTTACTTATTAATTTTATTTTATGATAATTCTTTTTGCTACCAAAGCTTCTAACAAAAAAAGTTCTTTATGAAAATTCTTTTTGCTTTTAATGATTTTTAACAGAAAATACTTTGATAATTTAGTTGCATCAATTTTATATAATTTTAGTTTCAATAATACTAGAGATTGCTTATAATGTTTTGAACAGAAAATACTTTGATCATTTTAGTTTCATAAATTTTATTTATGTTATTAAACTTTTTTTTTATTTTGTTTCTACTTATCTATTTTATTAAAGTTTATATTATTTTGTTTAAATTACTTATTTATTTTATTTTATTTTGTTTCTGACTTCATTTGTTATTTTTAATGCATTTACTGATTATTTTGAGCTATAAGATCATGAACTTGAAAAGCATTTGAAATGAACTCTGAAAAGGTTTCAAGCTGGTATGGTATCATCATTTCACCCACATAGCATGTGCAAGAAAGTACAGAGGCTTACGTCAAAAACTGGATACACTTCGTGTACAAAATGGACAATCTCTTTCGAAGTATCAGGGTTTCATACGGAAACTCGTCTGTTACAAAGGGATTTCAATTTTTTTGAACTTATTTGAACTTCTTTGTTTTTCTGTGTTCAATATGCACCATTCAAAGCCACATAATCAATTTACAACCCTTTCTGACTTCATTTGTTATTTTGTGTTCAAAATGCATGAACCGGGACTAAAGCACTCCCTTCTGTCCCGGTTCAAGCCACGAACCGGGACCAATGGTTGTGGGCCAGGAGCGAGGATCATTGGTCCCGGTTCGTGGCTTGAAACAGGACAAATGGTTCCAAACGAACCGGGACCAATGCCCACGAGGCCCCGGCCGGTCCCCTGGGCTCACGAACCGGGTCTAATACCACCCATGGGTCCTGTTCTTAAAGAACCGGGACTAATGGGCTGGCCAGGCCTGAACGGTAGCCGTGTTTTCTACTAGTGACACTTGATAACCGAACATAAGTACGTACTCGTAGTAGCTAGCTAGCAATGATTCGGTCGTACCACACAGGGGCGGAGCTACGGGGGGACGAGCGGGGGCCACGCCCCCCCAAGGGCTGCGTCGTACCTACGTATAGAGCAATATACGCCTAAGTAGATTAGGGCAGGTCAAACAGATTTTGGACTAATTGCCCCCCTCAACGGGTGCGCTCAAGCCCTGGCCCAGGAACTTTGCAAGTTAAGCCCATGTATCTGTAAGGTCAAGCCCACACCAGGGAAACAAACGGCCAGCTAGTTCTGGAAACTAACTGGCCACGATCGAGGGAATCCTCGTGAATCGATAGGCGCCGACGCACACGCACGGCACGCTCGCTGCGCGTAGCCGCCGGGAAGTTCGACCAGGGCATCCGCACAACGCATCAGGAAAAGCACCGATGGGAAAATAGTCCTGGTGAGTGTCCTTGATTCTTGATTTATACTATGCAATACCGATGAACTGGTCCGCATCTGGCTCCAGTAGACGAGCAACTTCTTGATTTAGATAGAATTAGTTAGGGCTGGCAAATTCTTGACTTATTGAAAGAAGGTACTGTTAATTTAGGCATGCGCTGAATCTATCATCTGAGTTTGTATTTCAGGTTGATTAGAAATCTACAAATACTAGTTTGTATACATGATAACGAAATTAGTTGATATACAAACTACTGATCAATATTTGTCACAAGTAAAATTTACAAAAGCTGGAATAAAAAACGAACCATATTTCTATTGCAAAATAAATATTATCTTGCATTCCTTTTTGCATGGCCATTATAGAAAAAAGTATATGTTCGTTGTCTTCTTTGCCCCCCCTATGTTCAAAACCTGGCTCCGCCCCTGGTACCACATGCTCGCTTACAGGCCGCCATGCATGTATCTTCTCCGATGGACAGAAGTTCAAATATGACTTGGTGTCTCACACTCAAATTAGTTTCTGAAACGCATTATCCATGGAAAGATTCTCTAGCACAAATGACTAGCACAACAGCTGATCGATGTTAGGTATGAGCAAACAAGTACTCTCTCCGTTCCAAAATAGATGACCCAACTTTGCACTAACTGGTCATCTATTTTGAAACGGAGGGAGTACATTATAGTAACATAAACTCACATTTAGTTCAAGTTGTGCAATGCGAAAAGGACACAACACTATTTAGCAGAATAGTTGGTGTATACTTTGTTCTAATGTGCCATGTTGCGAGAAAAAAAAGCATCACATAGAAATAAAAAAATGTAAATCTCGTGAAACAGGGATGGAACCCGCGACTCCGTGTCATTAGCATGCGCTTCCTTTGAACCAGGCCACTAAGCAAGTTCTACACACGTGTGCATACATTTTCTCTTTGACCTTGTTCACTTATTTAAATTCAAAACAATTTGATTTTTTCAGACGGTATTTCATTGTTTCGCGAATTTCCAAAAATCTCGTTTGAAAAAAAAAACCTGCGACAGTACATCAGCCACCCACGACGTGCTGCTGCGATGGAACTAGCTAGGCGCCCGCCTATATAAGCATGAGGTCCGGTGCATGTATTCCAGACAAGGATACAACCTGAGCTAATCAAGATGGCTTCCTCCACGCCTTACCTTGTCCTACTCTTGTGCCTCACCACTTTCCTGCAGGCATGGCTTGCTGCGGCAAAATACCCACCGCCGCCGCCCCCGCCGTTTGAGCTGCCGGAGTCCGAGGTGAGGGAGAGGTTCTCCAAGTGGGTGATCAAGTACTCAAAGCACTACTCGTGCCATGAGGAGGAGGAGATGCGGTTCCAAGTCTTCAAGAACAACACCAACGCCATCGGCCAATTCGACCAACAGAATCCTGGCACCGTCGTCGGTCGCGGGTTCCGACCAACTGGGTTTCAGGTCCATGGCTCGGGCGGGGTCCGTATGAACAGGTTCGGCGACCTCAGCCCCAGGGAGGTCATCCAGCAGTTCACCGGGCTGAACACCACCAGCTTCAATGCCACGTCACCCACCTACCTCCCCTACCACTCCTTCAAGCCCTGCTGCGTTGACTGGCGCTCCAGCGGCGCTGTCACCGGCGTCAAGAATCAAGGCACTTGAGGTAAACGGTCAAGCTATACTTTCTACTAGCAGATTTAGTTATATACTCATGCATGGTCATGGTTGCTCAATGAATTACTCGTGTCGTCGTGCGGATGGATAAAATTGTAATATGGCAGGATCATGCTGGGCATTCGCGGCGGTGGCGGCGATCGAAGGCATGAACAAGATTAGGACAGGGGAGCTGGTGTCTCTGTCCGAGCAGGTACTTGTGGATTGCGACACACGGAGCGGCGGCTGCGGCGGCGGCCACTCAGACTCGGCTATGGCCCTCGTGGCCGCCCGTGGTGGCATCACGTCAGAGGAGAGGTACCCATACGCCGGATTCCAGGGAAAGTGCGACATGGACAAGCTCCTCTTCGACCACCAGGCGTCCCTCAAGGGCTTCAAGGCCGTGCCACCCAACAACGAAGGTCAGCTGGCGATTGCCGTGGCCATGCAGCCCGTGACCGTCTACATTGACGCCAGCGGTTTTGAGTTCCAGTTCTACTCCGGCGGCATCTACCGTGGCCCCTGCTCCGCCAATGTGAACCACGCCGTCACCATCGTCGGCTACTGCGAGGGTCCCGGCGAGGGAAACAAGTACTGGATTGCCAAGAACTCGTGGAGCAACGACTGGGGTGAACAAGGATATGTCTACCTCGCAAAGGACGTGCCCTCGTCCACGGGCACATGTGGCCTCGCCACCTCGCCCTTCTACCCCACGGCTTGACCACAGGCAGCACTATGTGTGATATCTAAGGAATTGCTTCCGTTTCGTTGTGATAATGCTAAATTATTATTTTGATTATACTTCCCTTTAATTTGATCAATAATAGGTAGACCGTGCGTGCAATATATCATGGCCTGAGTAATAAAGTTTCGAGTGAATTACACTTTTTACAAGTTAATTGTGCAATTTTTTGTGACACGTATTTACCGATTTAGCAGATGTTGCATCGAAATGTCCCATCTAAAAAACATTGTACCAGATTTTACTCCATTTTAGCATTTCGCCTATTATTAGATATGACCCGCATGTTAGGTAGGTACTTTAACAACAATGTGTAAACATCTCAGGACAGGATGGACTATCATGTTTAGCCTTCTCTTCTCCATGTATTCCACTGCTCGCCATCCTTATGGTATCCTTTAACGGTGATCATCGCCGCACGCATTTTACAATCAACACCCATGAGAGAAACATGGTACAAAGTTTTAAAATAGGGTAATGTAGACGAATGCTTATGGTATCCTCTAACTGGTTCGGCGAATGTACAAATTGGAGGTAAAAAGTGAAGCTCAGTCTGAATTTACAGATAACATGTTGGGTACTATCATGCTCGTGTGTTCTCTTCTTTGTTTCTACTTCTCTGTGAGGATTATTTTTCTAAAATCAAATTTGCATGTGCAATGAGCATTTTTACGGTACCGTTAAAAACATATGAAACCTCCATTTGTTAGATTGTGATGGCTGAAGATTAGACGTAGATATATAGGATTGCCACCTCTAAAATCTGTGGGGTACATTTTGAAGTCGTAATCAAGACAAAATTACTGTGCCGTCAGATCATCTCAATTGTGCTCCTGTTATTATGTACGCATACCCCCATATTTTGTTCGTTTCTGGACGTCTAAACACAAGATCTAAACGAATCGGGGCGGATGTCCCCCAAGTGTACCCCCAAATGGATTACTATTTCCGCGACCAATTAAGCATCTAATAGCGAATATTGCAAAGTAACATAGAACAGGAAAATGTATACTAGTAGTCCTTGCATCTGAAACTTTTCTCATTTATCCTATAGCAATTCTATCAGTAAATCCATCCACATCTCTAGGATGTGGTTCCTCGATGCTGCCCACAAAGGGCAACTTGCAAACCAAACAAAAATCATAGAGTGACATCTCCTTAACCTCATCATATAAGTAAAACTCCACTGAAGGTGGTGATTTTCTAGCATGGAAATAAAAGTTTTTGCATGAAAATATTAGTGAGTAGGAGATACTGTTTACACTAGTCGTGGAGGAAGTCGGTGATGCCTGCATTCTCAGCCAAATGATAAAAGTCGTCGTAAATTCTGGCGGCTCTCAAAAATGCATCACAAGGCCATTCGCACGACCGAAACTCCACAATGCGAGGAAGATTGTATTTGGGCTTTTTATTCTCCTCATTCTGCTTATCATTCGAGTTTCGTCTCGAGGAGCCCCGCAGCAATCACTTCATCATTTTCGTTCTCTGAAAAAATTCTGAAATTTTTAGTGACTCAAAATAGAAGTGAATCAGACTCAACAAAATAGATAGCAACTACTCCCACAAAAACTAATTGGACCATTGGAGGAGTCACATACCGAAGAACAATCCCCCAAAGCAGTTTTGTGAATGGAGCTTTGAGCAAGGAGATCGAAAATGGCAGCAAAACGAGCTAGAACACGAGTTTGAGCTACAGGATGATTTTTTGGAGGAAGACGAAGTGTGTGGGTGCTGGAATAAGTGGAGAGGGGCCACGTGGGGTCCACGAGGCAGGGGGCGCGCCCGAGGGGTGTGGGCGCGCCCTGTGCCCTTGTGGCCAAATGGTGGGTACCCCTGGTGTGTTCTAAGTGCCAGAAATTCTTAAATATTCTATAAAAAATCATACTTCATTTTCAGGGCATTTAGAGAACTTTTATTTTCAGGGTATTTTTTATTGCAAGGATAATTCAAAAAACAGACAGAAATTATTATTTTTACTTTATTTAATCTAAATAACAGAAAGTAAAATGATGGTACAGAGAGTTTTGCTTTCTAATTTCATCCATCTCATGTTCATCAAAAGGAATCCAGTAACAAGGTTGATCAAGTCTTGTTAACAAACTACTTCCGAATAACATGTAACCAGAGAATTTCCGAATACCACTAGGTTACCTCAACGGGGATATGCATGTCCCCAATATTAAGAATATCATATTTCTTTTTTACAGTAGGAAGAGGTAATTCAAAACCTCTAATAGTAATCATTAAAAAATTTCCAATAGAATTGATACTATGAATTGTTGGGTTTCGTAGTAATTTCAAAAAATTTCCTACGCACACGCAAGATCATGTGATGCATAGCAACAAGGGGAGAGTGTTGTCTACGTACCCAACGCAGACCGACTGCGGAAGCGATGACACGACGTAGAGGAAGTAGTCGTACGTCTTCACGATCCAACCGATCAAGCACCGAAACTACGGCACCTCCGAGTTCGAGCACACGTTCAGCTCGATGACGATCCCCGGACTCCGATCCAGCAAAGTGTCGGGGAAGAGTTCCGTCAGCACGACGGCGTGGTGACGATCTTGATGAACTACAGCAGCAGGGCTTCGCCTAAACTCCGCTACAGTATTATTGAGGAATATGGTGGCAGGGGGCACCGCACACGGCTAAGGGATCGATCACGTGGATCAACTTGTGTCAACTTGTGTGTTTAGAGGTGCCCCTGCCTCCGTATATAAAGGAGCCAAGGGGGGAGGGTGCGCCGGCCAAGAGGGAGAGGCGCAGGAGGAGTCCTACTCCTACCGGGAGTAGGACTCCCCCCCAATCCTATTCCAACTAGGATTCCCAAGGGGGAAAGAGGGAGAGGGGTGGCCGGCCACCTCTCCTAGTCCTAATAGGACTAGGGGAAGGGGGGAGGCGCGCAGCCCCCTTGGGCTGCCCCTTTCTCCTTTCCACTAAGGCCCATGATGGCCCATATGGTTCCCGGGGGGTTCCGGTAACCTCCCGGTAACCCGGTAAAATCCCGATTTCACCCGGAACACTTCCGATGTCCAAACATAGACTTCCAATATATCAATCTTTATGTCTCGACCATTTCGAGACTCCTCGTCATGTCCGTGATCACATCCGGGACTCCGAACAACCTTCGGTACATCAAAATGCATAAACTCATAATATAACTGTCATCGTAACCTTAAGCGTGCGGACCCTACGGGTTCGAGAACAATGTAGACATGACCGAGACACGTCTCTGGTCGATAACCAATAGCGGGACCTGGATGCCCATATTGGCTCCTACATATTCTACGAAGATCTTTATCGGTCAGACCGCATAACAACATACGTTGTTCCCTTTGTCATCGGTATGTTACTTGCCCGAGATTCGATCGTCGGTATCCAATACCTAGTTCAATCTCGTTACCGGCAAGTCTCTTTACTCGTTCCGTAATACATCATCTCACAACTAACATATTAGTTGTAATGCTTGCAAGGCTTATGTGATGTGTATTACCGAGAGGGCCCAGAGATACCTCTCCGATAATCGGAGTGACAAATCCTAATCTCGAAATACGCCAACCCAACATCGACCATTGGAGACACCTGTAGTACTCCTTTATAATCACCCAGTTACGTTGTGACGTTTGGTAGTACCCAAAGTGTTCCTCCGGTAAACGGGAGTTGCATAATCTCATAGTCATAGGAACATGTATAAGTCATGAAGAAAACAATAGCAACATACTAAACGATCGTGTGCTAAGCTAATGGAATGGGTCATGTCAATCAGATCATTCTACTAATGATGTGACCTCGTTAATCAAATAACAACTCATTGTTCATGGTTAGGAAACATAACCATCTTTGATTAACGAGCTAGTCAAGTAGAGGCATACTAGTGACACTTTGTTTTGTCTATGTATTCACACATGTATTATGTTTCCGGTAAATACAATTCTAGCATGAATAATAAACATTTATCATGATTATAAGGAAATAAATAATAACTTTATTATTGCCTCTAGGGCATATTTCCTTCAGTCTCCCACTTGCACTAGAGTCAATAATCTAGATTACACTGTAATGATTCTAACACCCATGGAGCCTTGGTGCTGATCATGTTTTGCTCGTGGAAGAGGCTTAGTCAACGGGTCTGCAACATTCAGATCCATATGTATCTTGCAAATCTCTATGTCTCCCACCTGGACTAGATCCCGGATGGAGTTGAAGCGTCTCTTGATGTGTTTGGTCCTTTTGTGAAATCTGGATTCCTTTGCCAAGGCAATTGCACCAGTATTGTCACAAAAGATTTTCATTGGACCCGATGCACTAGGTATGACACCTAGATCGGATATGAACTCCTTCATCCAGACTCCTTCATTTGCTGCTTCCGAAGCAGCTATGTATTCCGCTTCACATGTAGATCCCGCTACAACGCTTTGTTTAGAACTGCACCAACTGACAGCTCCACCGTTTAATGTAAACACGTATCCGGTTTGCGATTTAGAATCGTCCGGATCAGTGTCAAAGCTTGCATCAACGTAACCTTTTACGGTGAGCTCTTTGTCACCTCCATATACGAGAAACATATCCTTAGTCCTTTTCAGGTATTTTAGGATGTTCTTGTTAGGTTTCGTAGTAATTTCAAAAATTTTCCTACGCGCACACAGGATCATGTGATGCATAGCAACGAGAGGAGAGTGTTGTCTACGTACCCAACGCAGACCGACTGCGGAAGCGATGACACGACGTAGAGGAAGTAGTCGTACGTCTTCACGATCCAACCGATCAAGCACCGAAACTACGGCACCTCCGAGTTCGAGCACACGTTCAGCTCGATGACGATCCCCGGACTCCGATCCAGCAAAGTGTCGGGGAAGAGTTTCGTCAGCACGACGGCGTGGTGACGATCTTGATGAACTACAGCAGCAGGGCTTCGCCTAAACTCCGCTACAGTATTATCGAGGAATATGGTGGCAGGGGGCACCGCACACGGCTAAGG